CACTGTCTCAAGGCGTCCACCCACCGTGATATCACCATCATCACATCATCATCAGCATCATCATCATCATAACCACCATCATCATCTCATCAGCATCGTCACCACCATATCTTCATATCTCATCATCTCATCATCATGATATTATGATACTCTGATATCCTGATCTCATGATCCCCTGATCCTCCGATCCCCCGCCGCGAATGCGTCTCGCGGCGATTGCTAAGCCACGCCGCAAGCGAGGCGCGCGCCGCCGCGAGACGCTCGGCGCAAAAGAGTGGCGCAAGGAGGGGGGGGGGGGGGGCATGGCGCCGGGCATGGCGTCGCCCACTCAGAAGTTCAGAAGGAGAGACGGAAGGGGAGGGGGCAGTGGGCGGAGGGGGAGGGCCAGCGAGGAATGGGAAAATGGCGGAGGTGCCAGAGCCCGTCAGCATGCCAGCACTGTCAGCACCACCGTCTGCCTCCTCAGCATCCCCAGCATCTCATCTTCATCGTCTCATCATCTCATCATTCCTTCATTCCTCTCCCCCCCGCCCTCCTGCCTGCCTATCGCAATCGCCACCTCGCCATGGTTCGTCGTTCGCCGTCCGCCTCCCATCCTCCCCCTCCTCCCCTCCCCTCCCCCCCTCCTCCCCTCCTCCTGGCAGTCCATGTCTCCATGTCGCCATCCCTGGCAACCCAGTCGCGCCCTCCTAACGCCCTAACGCCCAAACGCCGTAACAATCTTACACTCTAACACTCCAACACTCTAACACTCTAACACTCCCGAATTGCCCGCCCTGTCCATGCGCGCATGTGCCCATGTGCCCCATGTGCCCATGTGCCCACAGTGCCACGCTTCCCTCCCATATCCCAGGACTCCGCTGATCCCAGTTCCCCCAGCAAGCCCAGCCCCTCCTGGTCTGGTCCACCGTCTGAGATGTACATAAGTAGTCGCCAATTCACGTCGTTGTCGACGTGGCCGTCGCCGCGGGGGCCGTCGTCGACATAAGATGTCCAATCGAAACCAGCAAGCATGCATACTTTCTTGATCATACAAAAAGCTCCTTCACCTGTTCCATCCGATACAACTTGCAAATCCAAAACGCGCCTCATAGACGGAGACTTCAACATGCGGTACTGGATATCACAGTGCTGCCCGTCATGCGTACTCAATACATCGCTGCAAACGTATACACTTTCGAGCTCGGTTGTCAACAACTTGCTCTTCTGCCACACGCTGCTGTTCGTCGCGTCTGAGCGGAAGCGGTGGACCGCGAGACAGCACACTGATGGAACATATGGCGGCTCCGACTGCTGCGCAGCTGCACGCAACGCGCGTGCACTGACAAGTTGATCAGATATGTCACACTCGAACTGATTGTGAAATGCCCTGAAGCTCGAGATCAATCGCACACCCAATCGCACTTCGGCCCTGCACACAGACTGCTTCGACATATTCGAAAGAACTATGGATCCGAGGGACGCCGCAGACACGTTGGACATGTTCCGTCGGATTGCCAGGGCCGTGGATCCACTCGTCGTCAATTTCACATTCGATGGCCCACGGGAGATCTGAAACTGAGCAACGTCGGCTGCGGTTCCCCGTAATTCGGCAAGCTGCGCACTTAATCTCGCAATTGTTTTCTGATCCCTGATCGCTGCTCGACTCAGCTCGCGGGTTCGGGCTCTGTATTCATCAATGATGCACGCCAGCTCACGGTCACGCAACTCCAACAAAGAAACAACTGTGTCGAAAGAATGTGCTCGATAATCTCTCGCGACAACGCCGTGCTGTCGCCGTCTGTGCCGACTGAGGAGATCTGCTGCGACCAGCGGCGGCGGCCCAGCGTCTGATACTGCTACCACTGCTGTCGAAGGCGATGACGGCGATGGTGCTACTGGTGGCGCCTCTGCCGCCGCCGCCGCTGGGTCTGACGCCGGAACAACCTGCAGTCCGACAGAAACATGAGCAGCGTCGCGCCGTGGAAGCATCCTAGCCCACTGGGCAGCCGTTGGGGCGTCGCGGACACCGAACACGTTACTCAATATTGTCGGTACTGCAGAAGCTTTGTAATCTGATCCATGGTGCCAGGTCGGATTGTCATACTGCCGCAAGCTTTTCAAAGCCTGCTGGTGCGTCCGATTGCACAGTTGGGACAACATGGCCGGGAGAGATGCTCGAGGAACAACTGGCTCGCCGTCGGGCGCATAACACACATATGCTTTGGCAGCAAAATTGAGTTGTCTGCAATATTGAACTCCTGCCATGGGAAGGTCTGGCGGTGAAACGGTGAAACGGTGAAACGGTGAAGCAAAGTCAGAGCCGAAGTGTGCAACAGTATGAACGAATTGGATAGATTTGATGACGGACGCCTGCGACTGTCTTTTACGCATAATCCACTGGTGGACTGGTGGCCAACAAGGTCCTTCCCCCCTCCGCAAAATCTTCAGCTATCACTTATACTAACCCCAAAACCCCAACTACACCAACTACACCTAGGAAAATTGGTGCGACTAAACGTTGTGGGCACTAGAGGACCACTGCCCCAAAAACACCACCAGGGATGGGCATGGGCCTCTAAGTTGGTAAGATATGCTGGGTTGCACGTGTGATTTCAAGTGTAGAACGCACGCGTGTGACAATGATTACACTCATTATATTTGTACACACAGATGACACACGCCCCAAAAACCAGACACGACACCCGTCACCTGTGTACGAAATCCATGACGAACAGTATGCCTATGTCAGAAACATGTGCCATGTACGTTTGTTGGTAATTGAATATCCATACGATTTCTGTACGCCCGTGGTCGTACGCATATGATATATGGACAGCTAGTGCATGTACTATGCTTGAGTTTGGAGGCAGTTCTTTGCTCTGAGTCTGAACAGTCTGCGCGATGTTGGAGGTCGCGCCTGGCTCTGGGGAGGAGAGGGCAGGTCGAGCCCGATTCCGCCAGAACCAACCGACTGAGCTATCTGGAACCCCCCACCCGGGCCCCGAACTCTGCGGGCAGCCCTCGTCCTGGCCTGGGTGTGGAACCCTGCCGTCCAGGACACCGAGCTGAATATGACCCCGCTCGGGGCTCGCCGTGAAAGGAATGTCTCCTGAGAGAAACGGGTACCAGAGCAGCCATCCCCGGGGACCAGCTCTTCATCCCGAGTCGTGCTTCTGAAAGTCCCGAGGGCCCTGGAGGCAGAAGTCTGCCAAGCAAGTGCAGGATGCGTTTCTTTCCATGCGGAGGACCAGGGGCGCCCTCTTGCGCTTTCCCAGGAACCTCCTCTGCCCAGAGCACAACCGCACCGCGGGTGGCGGGCGCGAGAGCGCCGACGCGAGGGCCTGGCGTCGCCGGCTGCAGGAGCAATTGAGGCTGCTGGCGCTGCGAACGCTTTAGAATACCAAAGACGTTGTGGAAGTGTCCTTTTCCTCCGCCTTCTCCTCCTCCTCCTCCTTTGCCTTCTCCTCCCCTGACTGGGCGTGATCTAAGCCCCCACGTTGTCTGCTGCGGTTTCAAGATTAACTTTGAGGTTGCTTGATCTTGAGGCGCGTCGAAGCACACTCAGGCCCTCATCGCCCGCCTCATGCTTCTCCTCCCTCCTCTCCCCAAGCCCGCCCGGCTGATACCGCACGGTCGCTTCTTCTGGGTCGAAGACGCCTAGGGCGGATCACCGCTGCCGCCTGCCCTTCTTGGGGCGCACGTGTGGCGAAACATTGGGGTCCATCTTGGGCCATCGTGACCACGAGTTGTCTTGATTTGGGAGTGGCTTGGGGTGACGCCGGATTGGGCCAGATGCCACGGGGAACCTTTTGAAAGGGCCCGTGACCTATCATCTTGCCTTAGCTGCACCCAGTTACCGTGCTTATGTCGTGGACGAGGGGCTTCTTTGAAGCCTCTTGGGGTCTCTTGCCAGGTCCTGTTGGGGTCTCTTGTTCGCCTCTTGGGGGCATCTCTTGGAGGCTACGTGGGGTCGAGGGGATTATAGAAAGGGTCTGCGGAGCTTCCCGGGGGGCCCAGGGATCTCCCACACCTGTCTCGATGCTGCCTAGTGGGGGACTCTCGCCTGGCCAGCAGTCTCGGCGCGGGCTGCAGGGGCGTTCGCGGCGAGGGGAGGCGAGAGATGGAGGAGGAGGAGGAGGAGGAGGAGGAGGAGGAGGAGGAGGAGGAGGAGGAGGATGAGGAGGAGGAGGAGGAGGATGCGGAGGAGGAGGAGGAGGAGGGGAGGAGGAGGAGGAGGAGGAGGAGGAGGAGGAGGAGGAGATGCGGAGGAGGAGGAGGAGGAGGAGGAGGAGGCGGAGGACGAGGAGGAGGAGAAGGCGGGGGAGGAGAGGAGGAGAAGGAGAACGAGGAGAGGAGAACGAGCGGGGGAGGAGGAGGAGGAGGAGGAGGAGGAGGAGGAGAAGGAGGAGGGGAAGGATGAGGAGGAGGAGGAGGAGGAGGAGAAGGAGGAGGAGGAGGAGGAGGAGAGGGGGAGGAGGAGGAGAGGAGGAGGAGGAGGAGGAGGAGGAGGAGGAGGAGGAGGAGGAGGTGGAGGAGAGGAGGAGAAGGAGGTGGAGGGGGAGGAGGAGGAGGTGGGGGAGGAGGGAGAGGAGGAGGAAGAGAAGAAGAAGAAGAAGAAGAAGAAAAAGAATAATAAGGAGGATCAGGAGGAGGAGGAGGAGGAGGAGGAGGAGGAGGAGGAGAAGGAGGAGGAGGAGGAGGCGGGGGAGGGGGAGGAGGGGGATGGGGGAGGCTTCGGGCGCAGCCTGGTCGACCCCTTCTGTGACGAGCCCCTTCCGTGTCGAGCTTCTCGGCGTCGAAGGCCCCCCTCTTGCCGTCTGCCCACGCCTTCGAGCGAGGCCCTGGTGGCCGCCACGGACGGGGCTGGTTCTGGGGAGGGGCGTTGAAGGCACTCCGCCAATTGCCTGCGGCACGGCGGCAGCTAGTGTCTTTTCAAGCTAGAGGCAGGGGAAATTGGTAGGAAAAGATAGCGGCGAGAACGAATCGGGGACGGAAGGGAAAGCGCGGAGAGAGCCGAGGCTCTTGGTGCAGCTGCGGGCCGACGTGGTGCTGCTGCAGGAGCGGAGAAGCCGGGCCCTGCACCGGCGCCAGGGTTGCTCCGACCGGGCTGGAACCAGGACTGGTGCGCGTGTCTTCGCGACACAGCCCTGGGCGGCGCACCAGTCTTGGAAGCCTTGCCTGGCGCCAGTCCACGGTCACTCGGTGCTCCCTGCAGGAGTGGTGGCACGCCTCGCCCGCCTACGTGGACACCTGGCTGCGGTGGGCGGACGAGCGACGGATGAGCCTCTTCGTGTCTCCACGTACTGGCGCCAGGCCAGACGCCTGCGCGATCCTGCTCGCAGAGAACGTCGGGATACGAGACGTGAATTTCACGACACTGTCAATGGACGACTGGGGCGACCGCGTCATCCAGGTCGTCAGGTTCAGGACCGTTGGAGGCACGTCATGGGCCGTGGCCAACACGCACTTGTCGTTTCCGCACGGTGGCGAGCTGCACGCGGCCATGCGCAGGAACCAGGGGCGGAAGCTGCGAGACGTGCTGCTGTCGCTGAAGGTGTCCGCCGAGGCGGTGGTCCTGGGCGGCGACTTCAACGGGGCGCCGCAGGACCCGGTCGTCCAGACTGTTGCTCAGGGGGCGGGCCTCGCCCTGCAGCACGTGGATGAGGCAACCCACAGGGACCACCGCGGCCGGCTGATAAGCTGTGACTTCATCCTCTCGCACGGCCTGAGGCCTCTCGGCAGGTCTCTGGCTCAGACGGCCCCGACTTGTCGGCCCTGCGGCGAGCATGGGCCATGGAGCGCCGGCGCAACCACGCGCTGGAACTGGGCCAGCCCGTTGGGCTCTCGGGCGAACCAGCGTTCCGCGCTCTGGGCGGGATCGGCCTCGCCGGGTCGGGATGGGGACGGTGGCCTGGATCGTCCCCGCATCAACGGGGGAGCTTAGTGGGCCCTGGAAACGACAGGGCGGTTTTTTTACCGGTTCCGTTTTGCCGTTTTTTTGCCGGTTCCGACGCCGTTTTTTTACCGGTTCCGTCGCCGTTTTTTGACCGGTTCCGGCTCCGGTTCCAATCCTGGAGCCCTTTTTGTTGCCGTTTCCGGTCGCCCTTTCTTTGCCGCTTCCATTTTCAAGGGACATTTTTTGGGGAAGCGGTGAAAAAGCGGCCCTGCCGTTTCCGGGGCCCACAAAGCTGGCGAAGAGAACTATGCACATGCACCGATCCTGGCAAGGCCCATTTTTGACCCAGGATCGGTGCATATGCCTTCCTGGCCAAGGTAGGAGGGCGTATGCACCGATCCTGGGCTCAGGATGGGCCTGGCCAGAATCGGTACACGTGCACAGTTCTTTTCCCTCTAACAAAGCGGGGGGGTGGCCGAGGTCTCTGGAGGGGCCCGCGGGGTGCCTCGCGCAGGCGGGGCACTTCTGCAGCGACCACCGGCCCCTGCTGGCGCTGGTGGCCCCCGCGGCCAGATCCGCGCGCGGACCGCCCGGAGGCGCCCGGTCAGCGTCGTGGGTGCGCGGCGTCACAAGAAAGAGTCACGCAGCATTCAGGCTCAGCGTCTCTGCATCTTTAGGTTGAGTGTACTCAGGAGGGGACAAAACACACAGACACAATGAATCGTCGTCTCCCAGGAAAGTATGGACAAATATGGGCATTGGGGGGAAGACAAAAAAAACCCGAAAACATGGGAACGTATGGGGACTATTGTTATTTGTGTGTATCTATTTGTGTGTCCCGGGGCCCCTTCATGTACGGCTGCCTGAAGCTGACCCTGGCACCGCTACAGCGCACCAGCGCAGCTGGAAGGAGGTTGAGGTTCAGACCCGTTCCACAACAGCGCCCTGTCTGAGCCAGCGTGTGTCCCGAACGCCTCCTCCTTGTCCGCAGCCTCGCCCTCCCCCCCTGCCTTGATCGTGGAGGCTGCCATTTATTCAATCATTGCATCGCTTCGCTCGTTCCGCCGGCCCGTGGGGGCCTCTTGGGGGCCTCTGAAGGCCTCCAAGAGGCCTCTTGGAGGCCCCTTAGAGCCTCCTGGAGGCCTCTTGGGGCGTCTTGGGGGCCTCCTGAGGGCTCTTGGGGGCCTCTTGGGGCCTCTAGGGGCCTCTTGGGGCTTCCTGGAGGCCTCTCAGGACCGAGGGCTCGAACAGTTGTTTCGTGCTCCCCCTCTGGGGCCTCTCTTGGGGCGCTCTAAGGGCCCTCTTGGGCCGTCTTGGGGCCCTCTTGGGCAGTCTTGGAGCCCTCTTGGGGTCCTCTTGGGCCCTCTTGGGGCGATCGTGGGGGCCTCTTGGGCCGTCTTTGGGCGTCGGGAAGCCGAAAAGGTGGAAGCACCAACATCTTTCAAAAACCAAAGGAAAAGCAATGTTTTTTGCATCTTGGGGCGTCTGGGGGCCATCTTGGGCGTCTTGGAGCGATCTTGTGGCATCTCGGACCCTTGGTGAACCATCTTGGGGGCCTCTTGGGCGCTCTGGGCTCTTCTTGGGACTCTCTCTTGGCCCTTCTTGGGGCTCTCGGGGACGTCTCGGGGCCCTGTTGGTGCGCTCCTGAAGCGCTCTGGGGGCTTCTCCCGGGCTTCTGCCTGAGTACTTTTCGTCTGGGGACCCCCAGGGGCCGCCCCGCGCGCGAACTAGAAATTCTGTAAAACAGTTACCGGAGATCTTAGCACGCCTCTGGCCAGTTGGGCCGGCGACCTTTGAGGCGTGCGGATGCGTTACTATTCCTTGATCTGTGTTAAAAAGTAGGTAACCGCACTTGCCTCTACTAGCTAGCACAATCGGCTTACAATTGCAGCAGTTGACTTCAACTCAACGCCATTCAACTCGATTACAAAACCACCATGCGTTTACTTTATCGCTACTAGCCGCTATTATCGGCTTCGAACTACCACGAATCATCACTATTCTCGGCTTGCCAGGAAGTTGGATACATATGGTGTGGCCAGCATGGGCGAGAGCTGGATACACATGTGTTCCGATGAAACCTGTGCGAGAACTGGATGCACAAGGTTTCCAGGCCCCCAGGCACTCAGGCTGTCCCAGCGTGAAGTAAGCCGCGAGAGTGACCGAGAGCGGGACGATCCCAGCACGCAGTCTGGCGATGATCGCGTCCTGCGCACGGCCGCCAGCGACCTTTGCCCCCCATCATCCTGGACGACGGACCCGGCGTGCCTGGACCCACCTCGTGCACACAGAAGTCACGTGAACCAGCTAGATTTGATGGGCCCATTTTCCACCACCACCACCATAGGTGGGAGAGGGAGGAGGAGGAGGAGGAGGAGGAGGAGGAGGAGGAGGAGGAGGAGGAGGAGGAGGACCTCCTGATCCTCCCTGCTCCCACGTCCTACAGATGGTAGCGGTGGTGGAGAAGTTGTCCATCAAGATCCGCCCGACAGTAAGCCACCCGACACACAACCTGCTGGACCCTCGGATTGGTCACGTGATGCCGCAGCGCCAGCTGCAGCGGACAGTCTGCGCGGGCACGACGCTCGGCGCATGTCTTTGCTGAGCTCCGTCTCAATACGCTACGTGCCGCGTGTTGCGTATCGGGGCAGCTAAGTTCCCGGCAGATGCGGAGGCAGAATGGGTTGGGCCGCGATTTATGGGAGGCGATAGATGCGGGGGCAGCGAGGGCGGCAGAAAAGGGACCCTTTCGGGTCCCTGAAGGGGCCCTTCTAGGGACCTCAGCGTGAACGAAGCTGGTCCCCGGCGGCATACATCCGTTACCGCAAAAGTAGGATGTCGCGAACAAAAGAGCCACGAACGTGCAAGAGTTCTACTGGCTCGTTGGGGGACGTAAGCGAAGTGTCGTTTACACGCTCGCCCGACTGCCGCTGTTCGCGCTATGACCGCTGTTGTCAGGAGGGAAAGAAACACACAGACACAATTAATCGTCGATTCCCCAGAAAATATGGGGAAAATCTGGGAAGTGGGGGGGAAGACAGAAACCCAGAGAATATAGGAACATACAGGGATTTGTTTTATTTGTGTGTTTTTATTTGTGTGTCCCAGGGCCCCTTCATATTGCCGCTCTTCGCCTCTGCCGCGCGTGCCGCTATGCCGAAGAACATATTTTGCGCTGGCGCTCGGAGATGGCAGGGCGTGGACGGGGGTGCGCGGCGGGCGGGCGGGGGGGGCCGGTGGAACTGGGGGGAGGAGGGGGAGGAGGAGGAGGAGGAGGATGGGGAGGAGGAGGAGGAGGAGGAGGAGGAGGAGGAGGAGGAGGAGGAGGAGTGGAACTGGGATTCGATGCTCGTTTCGGGGACCTTCCTCGAGCCCACCTAACGGATCTGTTCGACCCCAGTTCGACTCGAGTTCGACTCAAGTTCGACTCAAGTTCGACTCAGGTTCGACTCAGGTTCGACTCGGGTTCGACTCAGGGTCGACCCAACTCGACTGACGTTCGACGCAGCTTCGACGCACGAGTGGAGCGAGTGGCTCCAGGAAGGTCCCCAGAACGAGCATCCAACTGGGAGGGGGGGGGGCTTGGCATGGACGGCCCGCTGGAGTCACGACCCGCTCGGGACCGCCGTGTACCGCCTCTGGAGCGGGCGACGTCATCTCGGAGCGGCAGCGGGCCCGCAGATCCAGTTGCGTGTGAAGCATGGAGGGTGCAGAGCACGCGCACGCCCTCCACGGTCCCCGGCAGGCGATCCCCTGAGGCGGAGGCCCCCATCCAATGTTAAGTCGGGCGTGTCCCTCTACAGGAGGAATCTTCGAGAATAGTAAAACAAGTCGGTCGGGGGACAAGGTTTAGACTATTTGGAACTCTTGTTGGGCACTGTTAGACCATTGTCTCATTTGTCTTACAACATCCGCTTGTAGGAGGACGTGCCCGACCCAAATCTAGTGGCGCACCCAGTGCGATGCGTTAGCCCACTCCGCCGAAGCAGGTGCGGCGGCCCACGCGTTTCAAATCCCTCCCCTCGGGGCCGAAGGTTTTCGCTTGCGTGTTTTTTTTACCCGGCGCGCCCTGGGCGCCCCAAAAGAGTGTCGGCCGCGCGCCGAGGGGGTGGCTGACGAAGGCATGGGCATCATGGGGTAGCTGGCTTGCAGGCCCGAGGGTATGTCTGGCCGGACGGAAGGGGGGGGATTGGGACCGGGGGGGTTACGAAATTTGCTGCATGCAGCTGGTTTCGACCCCAACCCCGCCGAGGGGTCCATTCCTCGATATGCATGGCCGCCTCCCGGCGCCGGGGGGAGCCGGGAAAATCAGCTGCGTGAGCGGATTCTCACCCCCCCCTTTTGCTATCCCTCCATTTCGCCCGTCTGGCCACGGCGGGCTGTGGTCACTAAGGGGTTCCAACTGCCGCGCTCGGAGCCCGATAGCTTCGGGCCCCGCGAGTACACTCGGAGCGAGCGCTCAGCTTCTCGTCATGCCCCATGTCTGACACCCCTCTCGTCTCTGGCCAGCCCCTCGTGCTGCGCCCACCCCTTGACCCCAGGGACGCGTCGCAGCGCAGCGCAGTGCATCGAGCCCAACCCCCAGGGACGCAACGCAACGCAATGCAACGCATGTGCTCTCACACGCTCACCCCTCCCTGATGGTCCGCTACCGAAAATTTCCGGTAGCGCTCCGCAGAGATCGGTCGCTACCGAAATACCGAAATGTAGCGCCCAATACCGGTATCAGAGCGTTCTGAAATCCGCTATTTCAACGCCCTCAAACGAAGATCCGGTCGCTACCGAAATTCGGGGTGCGTCGAAATCGCTACCGAAAATTTCCGGTACCAGACCATCTGGGCTGGGCCCCCTTGAAGCATGCAGGAGCCCAGACGGGGACCCGGGGGACCCCCGCCGCCTGCCGCGGACGGGCCGGCCCGCCTCTCGTCGCGAGGCGCGCCCTCGAGAGAGAGAGCAGCCCCGAGGGGGCGCCGCCCGTGCGCGAGCGCGCCGCTCTCTGGGGAAGTGAAGCGCGTCCCTCGCGCGTGTTCACAGCCCTGTTCTCGTCTTGGCATCGCACGGACGTGTGCATGTTTCCGTCGGCGAGGACCATCGAGGAGCATCCTTGATCATATAGGGCTGAAGAGCCACGCAGGAAGCTCAACAGAAAAACAGGGAATGGACGTCCGAGCGATGGCGAGTTGTGGAGTTACGCATGGTGCGCCTTCTTGCCATGATGCCACACGCTCGGCGCTCTCGATCTATGCGGACATGAGACGTGTGTGTGTATATATATATATATACATGCACATACCACAATCGTTCCCCAGTTGCGCGTCCGTTGCTCGCGCCCGCTTTCGCTCGTGCCAATGGCCATGCGATGCCTGATCAGCCCCGGACCCCCCCGACCCCCCCTCCCACAGCCCGTGCTGCCACGGGTGTCCCCGCGCCGATCGCTTCGCTCCGCCCGCCCTCCTCTCTCTCCGCCTTCCCCTTCTGCTCAGCCGCCCCCTGCCTGCCGCTGCTCCTTTGGCCCCAGAGCTCTCCTCTTCCCCGTGCAGCTCTCCTCCTCGCGGCTGGCCCTGCGTAGCCTCCCGCCGCCCCCCCCCCGCGCGGCGGGCGGCCCTGCCAGCTCGTGCCGATGCCGAGCCCCCTGCCGAGTGCGCGCGGCGAGAGCCTGCCGGCTGTGCCCCGCGCGGCGGCCGCGGCCGCGGCACGCTCGCCTCCGGGCTCGCCACGCGGCGCCCAGCACGCGCCGCCCGCGCGGAGGGCCGCGGCCGCGCTGCGGGTCCTGGCTTCGGCCCGCGCGCGCGCGGGTAGCGCCGGCGGCGGTGGACGCCCGCAGGAGGACGTCGAGGCCTGGCCGACCGAACGCCCATCTCTCGCCGTCGTCTCGTTGGCCGCGGCGGCTCCGGGGAGAGCACGGGGCCCTTCCCAGCGATCAGGGCCTGGCCAGGGGGTCAGGACGGCGGGTCCAGAGGCTCCGTTGGCCCTCACGGGGCCGGGCGGGTCGACAGGAGCAGCGATGTGGTTGGGGGAAGTTTGGTCTTGCAGCGGGGGGTCAGCCAAGAGGCGGCTAATCGGGCAGGGCCCATGTCGGGGTCGGGCTGGGGGGTTGAAGGCCTTGGAAGGGGGCCGCACTGGCCTGGAACCTCTTCTTGTGGGCTGCCCCTCGGCGTTGGGCCAGCCAAGAGGCGACACGCGACGGCATCCCGGGGGAGCTGGACATGGAGGTGTCCATGGACTGCGCCACAGGCAAAGAGGACGAGGCGGACGAGGTACCCGTGGGATGGGCCGTGCGCGGGGCCGTGTCGATGACGAGCCACCCCGCTTCCCCGAGGGGCGAGGCGCGCACGTCGATCACAATCGAGGCGCGCACGTCGATAACGATCCGGATGGGCCCCGCGTCGCCGAGGTCCGAGGCGCGCGGGCCCAGGGAGCAGCGGACGAGCAGCCTGCGGCGGACCTCCGCGGTCCTCTTCGACGAGGGGCGCCACACGTGCTGCTGCTACGGGCTGACGTGGGGCAGGCTTGCCGAGGTCTTCACCACGCCCGTGGACTCGGGGGCGGAGGCGCAGACGCGGGGCCTGGTGGTGCAGGCCGAGGTCCAGGGGCCACCGCCGGGCTCGGACAGCAGCCTCGGGTCCATGGCGCGCCGGTTTGCCCGGCACTGCCTCTCCGAGGCGAAGTACTACCCTGCGCCGCTGCTGTTCACGCTGGCCCCCACGATTGCAACCTCGCTGGTGGCCGGTCCGCACAGCATCGGTGGACTGGTGGACCATCCTGAGCATTGCGCCTCCAGTGCTCGTGGGGCGAGAATGCAATGCCTGTGCCCAGGCAGCCTTTCTTTTCCGCAGGCCGTGTGTACATACGTGTACAGAGAGAGAGGCATGTGCGTATATGTATATGCACACGTACAGGGAGGATGGGTTAAGTTGGCTCGCGGGTCAAAGGTTATCTATCTGTGTCTACGTATCGCCCAGGCTCTCGAAGCAGGTCGTATAAATAGGTAAATATTGTTGGTCTGCCAGGTACTGTGGGGCAGAATATGCTGGTGTACATCGAGAGGACGAGGAAGCACCCAGGCCTGGACGAGATGATCAGCCCGCTCAACCGGATTTTCTTGTGGGTTGGATTTGCAGGCAGTTTATACTCCATGTGCCGAGCATGGTCATGGGAGGCCACAGGGAAGCCATTCAGGTGGTGTGTGATGTACCCGGTCATCGTGGTTTGCTCTGCTTGGGTCACTTCCATATGGGTAAAATCTCAGATCGATTGTGCAACTTTGTCGATGTGGCATATTATCCATGATGAATTCTCCCTGAAACTCTTTGACCCCGTTATCGTTTTCGCAACGTTCGTGTACCTGCGCAGGGTTACAGGGAACATCAGCTTAGACTTATTCAATCGCTTCGCTCACTCCGCCGGCCCATCTTGCATCACTGGTGCTATATGTTTGTGTGTGTGTGTTCGTGGAGAGCGGAAAGGTGAAGGAGGAGGACGAGGAGGAGGAAGGGGGGTGGGGGATGAGGATGAGGAGGAGGTCTCTGGAGATCTTTTTGTGTCAGGCTCGGGCCAAATTGGTAATGGACAACCCGCCGCTTTGGGAGTCGCTTGGGGTCTTCTGGGAGGCCTCTCGGGGGCCTCTTGGCGGTGCGCTCTCGTTCGAGGATCGAGGGTCGTTGACGTAGAAGGGGGGAGAAGGATGGAAAGGAAGAAACAAGAAAGGGCAAGCAGAATGATAGGAGGCCTCTTTTTTGGGCCTCGTGGCGGTATGTCCGACACCTCCTGAGGCGGTGCAGGGGCCTCTTTGGGGCCTCATAGGGGGCCTCTTGGGGGCTTTTTGCCTCCGTGGAGCCTCTTGAGGGGTCCCTTGGGGCCTCGTGGGGGTCTCGTCTCTTGGGGCCTCCCGGGGGCCTCTTGGGGGCTTCTCGGGGGCCTCTTGGGGCCTCCGGGGGACCTCTCTGCGCCGAGAGCCCGAAATGTCTGCTCGGGTCCCTCGTCTGTGTCCGCTCTTGGAGCCGTCTTGGGACCCTCTTCGGCCATCTTGGAGGCCTCTGGGGCTGTCTTGGGGCCCTCTGGGGCAGTTGTGGGCGCTCTTGGAGGCCCCTTGGGCCGTGTTGGGGCCATCCTGGAAGCCTCTTGGGCCGTCCTGGAGCGCCGGGAAGCTCCCAGGGCGAGAACGCCAAAGACCTTCAAACATTGCAAAACAAATTCTGATTTCTGCCTCTGTGGAGCCTCTTGAGTGGTCTCTTGGGGCCTTTAGGGGTCTCTTGGGGCCTCTCGGGGGCCTCTTGGGGGATTCTTGGGGGCCTCTTCGGGCTTCCAGGGGACCTCGCTGCGCCTGGAGCTCAAAATGTCCGTTAACGTCCCTTGTCTGGGCCCCCTCTTGGAGCCGTCTTGAGAGCCTCTTCGGCCATCTTGGAAGCCTCTGGGGCTGTCTTGGGACCCTCTGGGACTGTTTTGAGTGCGCTTGGAGGCCTCTTGGGCTGTTTTGGGGCGATCCTGGAAGCCTCTTGGCCCGTCTTGGAGCACCAGTACGCCTCCAAAGCGAGAACCCCAAAAACCTTCAAAACTGTAGCATAATCATTAATATTCCTGCCTCTGTTGGCCCTCTTGGGAGGTCTCTTGGAGGCCTCTGGGGGCGTCTTGTAGGCGCTTTGGGCTGTCTGCAGGCCATCTTCGGCGTCTTGGATCGCTCTTGGGCCGTCTCGGGCCATGTTGAGCTCGCTTGGAGGCCACTTGAAGCGCCCCTGGAGCGCTCTTGGGAGCCTGCTGGAACCTGGCCGGGACCTGCCCGGGACCTGGCCGGGATCTTGCCGGGACCCGGCTGGGACTTGCGGGGGTACTTTTCGTCCGGGGACCCTTGGGGCGGCCCCGCGCGCGCGAACTAGAATGTTAACCATTCGCCGGAGATCTTAGCATGCCCTTGGCCCGTTGGGCCGGCGAATTCAAGTTCGCATTCGCTCTCGGGATGTTCATCCATCTCATGAGTCTCATCATGATCGCTAATATCGACCAGTCTGGCGACGCGACCAAAATATCGCTGGTGGTTGTCCTAGCCATCTTATTCAAGAGGCTTCCGCCGCTCATCCCGTTCCCAGAAGAGGATATGTGCAGCTTTCGATTTCGTATGTTTGGGTTGTCGCTTCCCGTCGTTCTGCCTGCGTGTAATTGTTGCTAATTCGTCGCCCTTTTCATCCGCGTCTGTTGCGATGCCTCTGCGGGGCATCGTGGAGGCCTAGGGGGCAGCCTCTTGGAGCCGGTGCAGGGCCTCCAGAGTCTTTTTTTGGGGCCTCTAGGGGCTTCATGGCGAGGCTTCTTGGGGCTCTCTCTTGGGGGGCGTCTTTCGGGGAGGGCTCCCGGGGCCTCTGAGGGCTCTCTTGGGGGCGTCTTTGTTCTCTCTTGGGCCTCTCGTGGGGCCTTTTTCGAATCATTTGGTTGCCGTCTTGTGGGCCTTCTAGGATTCTCAGTGCCTTCTTTGGGGCCGTCTCCGAGACCTCTTGGGCGCCCCTTGGGCCGTCTCGGGCCAGTCTGGGGGGCCTCTCGAGCCGTCTTGAATCTTCTGGAGCCCGAGACGGCGAGAACGGGAACATCTGTCAAACACGTAAATGGGTAAATGGGGATCCGTGATGTTTGTCTCTTTGGGCCCTCTTGGAGACCCCTTTGGGCGTCATGGGCCGTCTTGAGGCCATCTCGAGGCCTCTCAGGCATGTTCGAGCCCTTCTTGAGCCATCTCAGAAGGCATCTTCGGCATCCTGGCGGGCACGGAGGCCTAGAGGCTCCGCGGATTCCCGGGGTGCGTTGAGGAGCTCGTTTCCCTGCCTGTCCCCCCGCCTAATTGCATTTGAAGCCAGGAGAGGGGGACAGGGGCAGTGGGACAGCCAAATCTCCCCCACGCCTTTTCATCCCCGGCAAGCTGAGGTCTTGCGGATTTGAGGTGCTCTGCTTGTCATGGGCACGTTTTGTTGCTCGTGCCCTGCACGGCAATCATTGGTCAACATCTTGCCTCATACCAGTCTTCTTCGTGGCCTGGAAGGCTTCCATTGGCCGGATGATCACGCTCAAGGTGAAGAGCCTATACTTCGTTTTGTTGGGGACTCTTGTGAATGGCCTGGTCGAGTACGTGATACGTGTCTCCTTAAGCAGACGGGATGCAGCTGCGTACCGCGGCCTCTTCGGACGCGTCGTCGACGATCCTTGCAGACAGCTTGCCGACGACCGGAGCAAGAACATCCGTGCTCACACGTTTGCGTTCGAGACCACGTGCCAGCAGATCTTCACCGTCAACGGCTGCCTCTTCCTCCTGCTCCTGGACGTCTCCACGAACGGCCGCACGCGGCCCTCGCTCGGCCCGCTGCTGTCCAACGCCATGGTGCAGATCGGCGTGGAGAAGCTTGTCGACTTCTCCATCCTGCTGACTCTGAAGAAGGCGCCGGCGGCGCCCCGAGGGGAGCGGGCGCGAGGGGGGGGGGGGGGCGGCCTCCGCCGAGGAGGCCGGGGGCTCCTCTGGAGCAGCACGCCCGCCCTGCGGCGAGCCCTCCCGAGAAGCCGCCGAGCCCCCCCCCCCCCCGAGAAGCCGCCGAGCCTTGCGAGAATCGACGGAGCAACACAACAGCATAAACAGAAAGGTTTGGCGCCGCGCGCGCGAATTTCTCGGATCCACGCTGGGCCCCCCCCCCCCCCTGGCGGCGCCTCCGGCGCCGCCCCTGGCGCGCGGGAGCGCGCCAGGGAGGGGAGTCCCGCGAGGATCCGAGAGGACCGCGCGGAGCGCCAACTGTTTATGTTTGTGGCGCTTCTAGAGAAGGCCGCCCCCTCGCCCGGCTCCCGCGCGCGCGCGCCGCCGCGAGGTGTACGGCTACGACATCATGGCGAGGGTCGAGGGCCGCTCGTGGAAGTGGTCGCTGCTGATCTCCCCGTTCATGCTGCTCTTCTCGGCGATGCAGATGATGGACCAGCCGGGCCTCTACTGCCGGGCCGGCGCGCCCTCCCCGCACGCGGCCACCTGGGAGCCCTGCCCGTCCCAGTGAGGGCCCCGCGGTGCCTCTGCCCTGTCTCCGCGCTGGCGGAAAACGCTGTTTTACATGAAACAATTGTTGTTTTGTTCTTTGATTTGTTCTTCGTTCTGAACGCGTTTTGTTTTGGTTTCAAACGATTCCGTAAACCGATGGCAGGCGGTCGGGCAAACGATTGCGTAAACCGATGGCAAACGGTCCCTGGCCTGGGGTCCAGGCGCGCGCCTCCTCCGCCTCCTCCTCAGAGTCCATCCCTCGGCGACGCCTGGAGCGCGAAACTGGCCAGGGCCTGGCCGACGGCTTCCTGGATATGCCTGCTGCGACGAGGAGCGCAGCAGGAGTCCGTGAAGTGCCAGCCAGGCACTTCCCCGAAGCTGCCCCCCCCACACCAGGAGGAAAAGAAATACACAGACACATTTAATCGTCGACTCCCCAGAAAACATAGGAAAATATGGGAAGTGGGGGGGAAGACAAAAACCTTGAAAATATTGGAAAACGTTGGGAATATTTTTACTTTTGTGTATTTATTTGTGTGTCCCAGGGCCCCTTCACCACCTCCCGCCCCCAGGGATCGCGATGGCAGGTGGAGGGATATAGCCCCCTCCACAGGGGATCAGGGATTAGGAATTCTGGACGCGCCCGTGAGCTTTTGGCCAGCGTCGGCCAGTGGGCTGGTGGCACTGAGTGGAAACGATTGGGATTCATATCCTCTCCTGCGCTCGTGTTGCGACGATGTTGGTCCCCCTGGGCTCCGAGCGCGAGCATCGTTTGCTCGTGCAGGCACGCCAATGCTTTTTGTTCAGGGCCCGCGGCTGCTAAACTGATCCTTTCGGGGAGTAATCGAAGTGGATGTGCACTCGGCAGGGCACGATGATTGCGTGAGGCGTGTTCGACATCTGTGCCTGGTGCCCCAGGTTCCATGGCTCTGTGATGGGGGGGTGTCATGCCACACGTGCACAGGGGTCGGCATCATGCCAAGGGGTGTTCCAGGGCAGGTTCAGTAGCAGAGCTCTAGGCCATAGAATTTCGCATGCGAGCACCACGCCGGTATATGCGAAGCTCAGAATGGCTTCGGGGCGCAACATCATACAGTCGGGGCCTTGACCTAAGGAACCTAAAATAAGGAACGAGGCCCCTTTTCTCCAGAAGTTGAACCTCGATGTCCGATCGAAAACATAAGGAAAACCTGAGGCAAGCTGCAAAGCAACTAAGGAACACCGAGCCCCTCCCCAACGAAAAGGGTTCCTTCTTCAAGGCCCCGGCTGTAGCTGTGTCAAAGATGGTCTTGTTGGATTCAAGCCCGGAGGGCTCGGCGCGATGCCGGCCGCGGCACTCACGAATTCGTTGCCGCCCGGCTCAAACCGCAGGCGGATTCCATAAGAGATCTCTGGAGCCCTGCTGCGGACGCCCGCTGCCGGTGCCCGCAGAGAGAGGCTCGCACTGCATGTCCGGTCCGCCTTGCTGCCGGCCGTGCGCAGCCCTTGTCCGGAGCGGCGCCTGCGCCCACAGTTGCCATACAGTCGGGGCCCTGAAGAAGGAACCCTTTTCGTTGGGGAGGGGCTCGGTGTGCCTTGATTGTTCCAAAGTTTGCCTCGGGTTTTCCTGAGGTTTTCCATTGGAAATCGAGGTTGGACCTATGGGAAAAATGGGCCTCGTTCCTTATTTAGGGTTCCTTTGGTCAAGGCCCCGACTGTAGTCCACTTCTTGCTCGCCCCTTCTCTGGGGCCCTGCCACGCCTAGCCCTCGCCGTGCTCGCCGTCTCGGTCCTCGTGCCCCCCCCACTCCATCCTTCCTTGTGGTCGTCAGCAGGGTCAGCGCTGTTTCGCAGCATGCCAGTGGCCGCCGGTTGTGACTGCACATTTTCTTTCTGAGCGCCGACGAACGGAAGAGGCCGAGAGGGGGCATCGGGAGATTCGTGGGAGGCCATCGCGATGGTGTGCGAGTCTGGTAATCACGGCCGCGCTGTGTGATAACAACGTGGGCTGAAAAAACAGCCAGGCATACTGCAGCATACAAGTCGGCCAGGTAAAGTAGCCTTCTGATTGCCTGGTATATGCTTCAACTGAGCTCTCCATAGCTCGTTCTGTGCACGTAGCCAAGGTGCTATGCGAAAAACAACCCCATGGGCCGCTGTCTGCGCGGTCTGCTCGCCCAGTTGCGTTCGTACGAGTCTTGTGCGCGGCAGTATCAATTTCAGTGCATGGCCATTGGCATCTTCTTTACTCTGTTGACGTGCTGTCTGGCGCATACAATGGTTCTCAGGTGGCAGGGTACTCTCAATAACCTTCAAGCTGATTCGCGCTCACAGCAATTGTTTCATACCACTGTGTATTGCGCGCTAGCTGGGAACACCCCCTCCCTCTGTGACGGTTGGAGTACGGCCACTGCGGGGCGGAAGGCAAAGGATGTGGGACGAGGAGGCTGAGGGGCGGCAGATAACAGCACCGAATTTGGATGCGTGTCGTGCATGCGGCTTGGTGGCCACTGCGCCGCGTATTTCTCTTGCTTGGCATCGCTCGGACGTGTGCATTTTTCCTTCGGCGAGGACCATCGAGGAGCATCCTCGATCGTTTGGCGAAAAAAACCACGCACGAAACCGAAAAAAACACAGGGAGTGGACGTCCGAGCGATGGCCAGCTTGACGTCAACGGAGCCGTGTATTTTCCTCGCCGTGCATTTTGCCGTGGCCGGCGGGCCAAATAAGTGTTGTGGGCTGTGCTGCGCGGGTGTCCAACAACAGTGGGCCCCGCCGAGGCCGGCTCGGGCAGTGCACCTGCTCTCCGCGGACAGACGCCTTTGTCGATCTGCGCTCATCTGATTCATGAGGAAAAAACACACACAGAAACAATTAATCGTCGATTCCCCAGAAAATATGGGAAAATATGGCAGTGGGGGGGAAGACAGAACCCCCCCAAAAAATATTTGAATACATTGGGAATCCTTTTATTTGTGTGTATTTGTTTGTGTGTCCTAGGGCCCCTTCACTGATGTCTTGCTCCTTTTGGCCAAACCTCGTGCCATCGATGCTTCTGGCAGGCCCCAGCAGTCCCAGTGGTTCCTGAGTACTCCGCCCCACCTGCCCGGCACTCTACGGCCGCCGGGTCCCACTGGTCCAGGTGCTCCTGGAGTATCCCGCCTCGCCCCGCCCTGCTGATCTCGGCCGCCAGGCCCCCATCGTCCGGGCGGTCCCTGCATCTCTCGCCTCGCCAGGCCTCCATTGCGCAGCCGCCAGGCCACCAGAGGGCCCCAAGGGTCAAATGACGACAGCGCGAACAAGCGTATGCAACAGTCGTATCGCACCCAGCAGACAACCTCACCAGGGGGCGTCACGCCGTCCAGTTGTCACGACGGCACACCGCCCACAGACAGCACAAGATCTTATCAAAACGATGCATCGAGAACGCTGTTCAGTAGCATACATCACTACCCCTATGCCAATCGCAGACACCACGAACATACATCAACACATACACCAACGACATACACCAAGACCGAACCAATCCCAGCTGTCAACAGCATACCCCCAGAACACTTTTCAAGAACACACCCCAGAAGCATACACCAAGAGCAGGCACCAATAACCGTAGTAGTACGGAACTGCAGGAATCGTCCCAAGAGCAGGCACCAATAGCAGACATCACTAATACACATTAAGAGTAGGCAACACCACCATACCAATAATATACCACAGACACGGGCCATGGACATCATGAACATATACCAACGCCATACAAACACAACTAATACGCACCAGTAACTAACCCTCTGCACACATACTAACACACTACACCGAAACCACACATCAATCCCATACACCAGGGACACTGGAAAGGAACAGACGCTGACAACATTATTCACTAGGAGACATGCAGACTCTCTACCAAGAACACACACGAACAGCGTCTACGCAGCACATACATTAGGAACACACACACACACATTTCTTTAGTGAGATGCTGCAACTCCTTGCCGGGGATCTGCTGCGAGCAAAATCGTTGCTGTGCTGTGACATTAAGTGTCCTCCTCCGAGCCCTGCTCGGCCCTTTGGGGGGTTCCTTCGCTCCCGAGGGCGCTCCAAGAGCACCCGCGATGGCCTCCAGACCTTCCAAGAGGCTTCCAAGCCACGACGAGCGCTCCAAGACCGCTCAGGATGGCTTCAAGACTGCCCAGAGGCCCCCCAGGGAGATCAAGAGTGCCCCAAGAGGACCCTCAAGAGGGCCGCACTAGGGCGCAATCGCCATCGCCACAATACCTGAGGAAGAACTTGCATTTTAACACGTTCGCTTTTTCGTACAACCAGCACCCGTTACGGCCTAGGGGGGGGGGCAACTTCGCCCCAAGGCGGCCCACGGGGCCTCCGAAGAGGCCCGAAGACGGCCCAAGAGAGATCAAAGACGGCCCAAGAGGCGCCCCGGATAGCCAACGAGGCCCCAACAGGGATCCTTGAGGAGCAGCTCGAACTCAAAGTTCGAGCCCCCCGCCCCAAGAGGATTCCCGAGACCGCCAGCAGGCCCCCCAGAAGCCTCCCTGAGGTCCCCAAGGAGCCCAAGAGAGGCCCCCAGCTGGCCGCCACGAGGCCCCGACATGCTGCCAAGAGGCTCCCAAACAAGCCTCGAAGAGGCCACGCGTCCACATCTTACACGATGCTCCTAGAAGGGTTTGCGGGGATAGTGAATCGGACCTTGAGGCCACCCTCGAGACACCAGTACGCGTCACAGGTCCCCCAAAGGCTTTCAGCAGGCTCCTGAGGCTTCCCAAGGGGCCCCCCGAAGCCTCTCAGATGCCACGCGCCTGCTCCTGCGTTGGCCACGAACAATGTTCCGGACGTTCCGGACATGCTCCGGACAAAAAGTTGTTCCGGACAATTTGTTTCGGACATTTGTTCCGGACAACTGTAGGAATTGACGTCCTTGGGGGCCGCGCGAGCGCCCTCGGCCTGGAGCCACCATGGGAGCCTGTCGCGGCCCAGAAACGTACGATTCGGGGCCCGCCGGCTCCGCATCATTTGAAATCTA